ATTTAGAAAATCATCGGTGATAATAGGTGGCTTTGTCTTACTTCTTTATGTACTTCGAACGACTCATTGAGTATTCTGTTGTGGATCAACTGACATGTGCCACTGTCATGTACCTGTTGAATCAAAATTAAATGCATAAAATGTGGTTAAATTACTCTTTTGATGCTTCAGTACAAAAGTGAGAGGTAATTTTGTCACATACCAAAGAAAGCTAACGGTTGAAGGTCATTTGTCTGTCGATATTTACTGGTGCTTAAAGTTTAACTTTACCCAGTTTTGGTTGTAATGTATTACCTTCATCTGGTTGATAAAACGTGATATGATATAAATAGAAACCTGGTTTAAAACCTGGACTATCGAGTACATCAACATTTTATTTTATATAATTTGTCTTGGTCTCTTTGTTTTAATCCGTTAACATCTAACCTCTAATGGTACAATTTACTCTCACGAGTATTTAAAATGTTTACAATCCTCTGATGTTAATATAGCAAAAATATTCATTCAGACATCTATAAAACACAAAATAATCGAGCAAGGAATATTCTTTTCGATAAATTCCTCTACTGGCTCTACAATTATACTTATTTGTTTATAATACACAAAATATTCAAGATTGGCAGTTAATAACAATATGAGTGTCTTTTAAATAATTTCGATTTGTAAAGTAAGTTCACAGTGGAATTACAGTTCACTAAAAATACTTAAATTATAGTAGTAATAAAGATATAATAGCGAATAGAATATCAACTAAAATTAGGAAATTTCCGCAAAAATTGAGGATCATTCAAACCTAGATGGCCAGCAAGGTAAGGACAGTGTCTGAACTAACTACTTATGAAAGAGCTTCTTTTGAAATAACGGTGTGGCAATGAGCTCACCACTAGGACCCATTCTAGCCGAAATTTTCCTTGTGAAAATAGAAAATGGGCCTCTGAAGGATGTTATTAATGAAGTCGAATTTTATTTTCGATACATGGATGATACTTTTTTGATTATGAAAAAAGAGAAGGATGCAAAGAGCATCCTGGATAAATTTAATGAGGTACATCCTGCAATAAATTTTACTATTGAGAAAGAAAAAGACTCCAGTATTCCATTTTTAGACGTTTTTATGACCAGAAAAGAGGATGGCACAATAAGAAGAAGTGTTTATCGAAAGCCTACATCATCGGGCCAGTACACACATTTTCTCAGTTTTGTGCCCTTGAAATACAAAAAGTGCCTGGTTCACAGAGCAAGAGCGATTTGCTCGGACGAATGTCTTGATGAAGAACTGGATAATATTAAACGGTTGTTAAGTGGGAATAGTTATCCAGAAAAGTTATAAGACTATGAATTTGAATTGAATTTTTGATTTTCCAGTCGATTGATTGGACCGAAGTGCTCGGTCTCAGGTTGACATGTCGGCTTCTTGTGCAGATGCTTCGACGATGCCTGGGGATTTGATTTGTATACAATTGGTGGCCCAAGTGGTCTAGTGGATAACGCTTTGGCGTTTGAAACTATGGGCACTGGGTTTGAGCCTCGGTGGGAACATCATCACTCACTGAGAAATGCAGGTACATCCAGTTGACGAGTCCCAAATAGGACGAAATGCGCATCCTGGATTCCACTGCTAGCCACCATCCACCAACTGAATATGAATTTGAAACCAAAGCAACCAAAGTTATCAACAGTTCTATAAAAGGCCTTATTCTTTCAGATGCAGTTCCTTGGGGACAACACTAGCGAGATACTAACACACCGCATTAGAAATGCGGTGAAACGAGCATTCCCAGCTGCTGAATTACGTTGCAACTTCAAGACCACTCCTCTTCTGCGTTCGGAAGTAAAAGACAAACTGGCTAATTTCGCCTCATCCATGTGTATCTACCAATTTAACTGCTCCTGAGGAACCAGTTACATAGATCGCACAATTAGGCGTGTTCCTGGTCGAATTTCCGAATATCACCCTGCACAGTGGTTAAGCAAAGGCCAAACAAAATCTATTCGTAGCGCTATTCTGGCTCATCTTGTGGATACAGAACATAAGATTGATGTTAACCAGGCTTTTAGAGTTATTTACCGGATACCAACAAATCTCAACTCCGCCTTAAGATTTCGACCACTAAATATTGCTGAGGCTGGCTGTTGGGATCCACATTAAGAAGCCTAATTTGTGCGTCCAAAAGAAGTTAGTTCAGACACTGTCCTTACCTTGCTGGCCATCTAGGTTTGAATGATCCTCAATTTTTGCGGAAATTTCCTAATTTTAGTTGATATTCTATTCGCTATTATATCTTTATTACTACTATAATTTAAGTATTTTTAGTGAACTGTAATTCCACTGTGATCTTACTTTACAAATCGAAATTATTTAAAAGACACTCATATTGTTATTAACTGCCAATCTTGAATATTTTGTGTATTATAAACAAATAGGTATAATTGTAGAGCCAGTAGAGGAATTTATCGAAAAGAATCTTCTGATTGTCAATTTCTATTAAACTTGAGGAAAAGCATAATCACGGGTGGTAGTGTTAGTGTCTCCCAGTATACAAGCTAGCCATGTCCGATTTATGTCACTGGTTCTTTACATCTACTCCTGAAAGCGTTTCTTTTGTAATAATTGACATTCAACCAAATTAATGACGTGCGTCTATCTCAAAGGAGACAAAGAAGGAAGGGAAGAAGAAATATTCTAATGGATTATCGATTGTACGACTCAGATAGATAAGACAGAATTGTATCATATGATCTATACTCTCTGTTAAAAAATTTTAGTTTTGGCGATCGCGAACGAAGAGACTGAACTCCATTGGGAATTCTGGACACCACATAAACAGCATCCAGAAAAAAAGATGCTATTATTATTATTATTCTTTATTGTAAATACTATGATCTTCTGAGAACGATGGTCTGATTTATTTTGGAAAAGCAGAGTTCATAATTATTCCCTTAAACTAGAGAATTATTGGAGTTTGTAGGGCTGTCAATTATTAAAGCTGAGCAACATATATATATATATATATATATATATATATATTAAGGTAGTGTGATGCTTAGCCTATTATTATTTACACGTTAGCGACATGCTACAAATTTGTGGGTTTTTTCAAACTGAAATAATTAATCAATAGTAAAACGATAAGATTAGATGCCTCAGTAGACGCTTTAGTCTATTGGTTCATTTTTAAAAGCAAATGAGAGATAAGCACTCCGAGAAAAAAAACATCAACGTCACTGTTTGTTATTTTTCCTTATTTTACTCTTATTCATCCATGAACGTCTGAATATCCAGACAGACAAAAACAGGAGCGCTTGTATTTGGAAGAAAAACATTATCGACTGTAAACCATTACTTCTGTCTGAATGATTTATTACCTAAGTGTGAACACCATTTGGTTGTATTTGTAAATTTGTATTTTTACTCCTAGACGTGACTAGTTGAATTCATCTTGAAATGATAGACTGCCTAATCATCAGATGTACGCATACTGCCCTGATTTCGGCTTGAAGTAACTTTTTTTTCTGGTTGCTGACAATAAGCTCCAGAACTCATGCCTTTGTTATATGTTTATCTCGTTAGTTAGATGTATCTACAGATCATTGGCGTCAAGCTGACCAATTCAAAACGGGATTCGAAAGTCAATCATCATAGACGGAGTTAAAACATACAGCACTATTGAGTACCGTCAAAGCCTTTTCAACCTCATTCAAAAGCCATGTGATAATGCAAAATGTCAAGGGATTTATAAACAAAAATTCAGCGAAGGTTTTGAAGGGAAAACAAGGGGTAGGGCAAGACTGCTTACTATCACCGATGATATTTGTGATTGTGCTGGACTGGGGTATGCATCACACCATACATGAAGAGTGAAAATACGGGAATATGTTGAACCGATGAAAAAATTGTAGGAAATCTGAGCATAACGGGTGATTTATGTCCCATGTCACATAGATTCGAAGTTGGCGGAAGAAGCACCATAATACATGACTTTAAGTGGACATTGAGAAAACGGAGGTGATAGAGATAACCAATTAATACACAACAGGAACTGATCAATACCAAAATATGGGAAATAAGTGAAAGAGGTTACCTATTTCACTTATTTAGGAAGCATCGTCTCAACTACAGGCCACAGTAAGGTTGGAGATTTTAAATATGGATTGGAAAGGAAAGGCGGACCTTCACCACCCAGCAATCATTTTGGAAATCTTCTGCACTCAACATCAAGGACGGGATTCGGATTTTCAACAACGGTGTTAAGTCAGGTCAACAGAATGGCTCACAGTCTTGGCGCGTGATTAAAGGCGTTTAAAAAGGCTGGGGACTTATATTAACAACTATCTTTGCTTGTACTGAAGATCAGATAGCCCTTCAGAAGGAACAAGCAACAAGGAGATCTGGAAACCAAGCTACCATAAACCTATTACCAGTGAATGTCCCAAAGACAATGCAGAGGAATTGGACGCATGCAGAAGAAAATATTCTTTAGATTCGTGTGACAGGCTCTCGAGACGAACCTAGATCGGTAATGAGGAGATCATGTCAGGAAGAGGTGAAAGCCTATTGGGAATTGTGGCGCCGTCTAAAGAGGACTGCAGAAAAAAGGCCGAAATCCAAAAATGTGAAGGCCTATATTCCACTCTCAACCCAAGAGAATAATGATTATAATTCATCCTATCGTAGGTCTGTGAAAAAGCCGGACCTTAACATCTGGTTTAATTGCAAATGACTTAGCAATGAAGCTTTCATGTATAGGTTATATTTACTGCATTATTTAAGGACATTAACGGCATCATTATGCAAGCAGACATTGTACAATTGATGTCTAAATAGAAATATTTGCATTTCATGTTTTACCACAGTTCAATGCTGTTTATAATGGCTTCTGCAGTATTAAATAGCTATGAGAAACTTTCAGGATTTCTATTTCTAAAGATTGAAATCCATTACAGTTCTATATTCTAATGAAATAATAAATATCCTTTGGTATTTTCAATCTGTATTTCAGAAATTTGGAAGCAACGATTAAAACTAACAAAGAATTACACGGTATTGTTATCTCTTATTGCGTACGTGTTAGATGCTGGATAGGAATCAGGTGAGCCTGTTACTTCTCTGTTATGTAAAATGTGAATTTGAATTGAAGTTTCAGCAGAGAACTATGCGCTACAGTATAACAGTTCAGGTGTGCCACACGCATAAAGCTAAGAAAAAATTGAACCATATTAAACGGGAATTCACGAGTGGAAGAATTTGTTGAGCTGACAGGAAGGAGAAGTCATTAGATATGGGAGTTGATAAAACTGAATTTATCTCGGCCAAGTCACAAACAGTCTCAAAGCAGTAAATCTTAGCATCCCCAGAACTTCATAGTGGCAATCAAAGATTCCATGGATCAATCCAAGGTTTACACTTGATCATTAATAACACTTTTCTAACCTAATCAGATATCAACTCAAATCGCCTGAGAAGGAAGACGACCGTTAGTCATCTTTATCAATACAAATTCAAAAACTCATCAACTGCCTTTCCTCCCTGACCTGGAACACCTCAGCTAGCCTAAATATCACCCACTACTTTACCCTACTCAATGATGGAGATGGAATACAGACATGCATAGTCAGGGATGGCTAGTCTCCTTATATCTACCACTTTCAATGATCATGTCTCACAATCGTAAAGAAGGACGGAAGAGACTGGTACTCATCACTTATTTGATAGCCTGACAACAACTCTACGCTTTTTGGTGTCCTAGTTTTTTAAAGAAACGGTACTTTAGTCATAGAAGTGTACTTCGAAAGAAATATAATGTATATATATACATAATTTTGTATATCGCAAGACAGTACTAATGTTACAATTTGAAATTTTCAGCATTTGATAAAATATTGCTTCTCATTTTATAGAATAACGATAAAAGTAAATATAGAAATAAATAACATTACAGGATTGTTAATGGTAGCTCATTATTTGGTATTTGTAGTGACACTGAAGTCATATATATATATATTGTGAATTTTTTGAGAGTTGCTTTTCAAGGATTAAATTTGTTTCTGCGATTTTGATCACGGATTGATATAAGTTAGAGAAACATTAAAAACCAGCACTGGAGTACTGGACAGCTGTTTCATCCTACTTTGGGAATCATCACCAGTACGTACCCAATGGGTTTGGAACCCACGGCTATTAAATAGGATTCCATTGACTGAATTGTATACCAGCTTGCCTTTTAACCAGAAGGTCTTGTAAAATTTTATAGACTGAGAATAATGTTAGTAGCTAAGATTGTTAGGTAAATGAAATCGTGTCACAATAGATTATGAATAGAACCGATTATTTTGCTAACAATATTGTAATTCTTAGGTTTCTCGTTTAAAACTGTCACTATCACATACAGTACGAGCCATTTATGGTAATGTTGGGTTCCTATACTTGGCAGTGCGAGCATATAATCTATTGTAGTGACCTGCAGTTCTATCAGACAAGACACAAGGACAGAGTTGAGAATAAATGAGGTGTTGAGGCTCAGACAGTATAGATTTAGACCACCTCTGGTATCAATAGTAGTAACAAGCTGAGTAAGGTCCGCATCACTTGGCCTATTGAAAACCCTGAATACCCTTCTCAAAATAGCATCGTCCTTTTTCAGTAGTCCAGGAAAAAAAAGCAGAAGGCATCTCATAATTGCAGAATAGTTAGAAGTAATGATCTTTTGGTCAAATCGAAGGAAATAATGCTATAAACCCAAAGATCATTATCAGCATTATCATCAACTGCTAATTGACTGTGCATGTGATTTTGGATTCACATTATCAAACATAATTCGAAATAAATGTGTAAGCTGAAAATACTGTAGACAATTTGTTTTTTTTAATTTTAAGCCTGTAACTTTACTTATTTCTATTATAAAGGTGGAATATATGAGTAGATGGCATTTCATTTTTTTTCTTCCTGTGTGTTCCACATAGGGCTTCAAGATAGAGGCTTGAAGTTTCTGTAGCAGTGGTGTTTACTTTTTACAGGATCGGGTTGCTAGTCTCATGCCCAACCTTTCCTCTTTACCAGCATTATTTCTGGCTTAGCGAGGTAAAGAAGTGCGTCGGTGGCCAGGGATCGAACCCCGGACCATGTGCATGGTCGGCGAGCGTCCTAACCGCTATACCACCGACACACAGATGGCATTTAATAGTAGAAACGAATCATATTGTTACAGATCAACTCTTCAAGATGAATCTGATACTGGCTAGTAACTGACTCTACAAAAACGTTTCCTGGATTTTCAGTGAAAAGCCTTGCCCACTGAGGTTTATCTGGTTAGAAGTGGAGACGTAAACTCGCCTCAGATGACACTGACTGCTGCCAGTCGCGCTGAAATCATGAATTATTAGAAGCCAAAATTCATTGGCCAATGTATCAGGTCTCAATGGCTGAATGGTATACTGGTTAGCCTTGTAACCCAAGGGTCCTGGGTAGGAAACCCGGCGGATAAGTACTTCCTATAGGTCCAAAGTACTATGACAAAACAGCTGTTTAGTTGCCTTTAGTATTCAGTGATTCTTCAACTGATACCGACAGCCGATCATAACTTATAATAGATCATATCCCTATGAACAAACTCTTGAGAATTTAATAGTAAGTCACTAGCTTTGTCGTTCAGCAGTGGAATGCTCGCCAACCACGTAAGTGGTCTGGGGTTCTTTCAGCGGCCTGATAAGTAAAAATAGCAAAATGTCACTAGATAATTGGGTACTGTCACTAGGCAAACCAAGGATACCATTTAGTATTTTACTAATAATGAAGGAAGTTTGAAATCCTTCGATCACTGCATTCAGTCCTGGTGGTTGAATGTTAAACGTGCTCGCCTTGTAACCTGATAGTCCTATGTTCAAACTCTTGTAGGAATAAAAAAAATAGAACAAGACAGCTGCCTGCATCTCCCCGATTTCTAATGGTTCTCCTGCTGATGCAAGCTTGTGATCTGGTTTGAAATATTGATACTCTAATCAATAAAGTTACTTAAAAGACCTATGACCTAAGTTTCAATAATTAAGTAACTAATAAATTTCGTTTTGATGTTATCTCTCATTTCAAACTTTCTGGATGGAATCAAGTTATCGGGACTTTGTTAGCAATGAGGCGTATGACTACGTCTGTTACTGACTCGAAATTCTTATGAATCGTACTCACCTTCCATCCATAAATAATTTCACACGCACTTGATCATAAATTAGGTTTTCCATATTAAAATTATAAGCTTGCATGAACATGCCTGTGACATAATTTATTGTTGTTATAAATGTGCTTATGGAAAGTTAGAATCTTTTATGAGTTTTTATAATGATAATACAAGTTTGAAATTCAACTAACTGCATTCCTGTTTGTTATTCAGAAATATCCACCAGTATATATAAATCAAATTCACAGCTAACAAATTGGATGGCGATTTGCCACGTACACAATTCCGGGGCTGAAGTTTGAACCACACTTTCATTTGGAAACTAAATTATTCAGAGCACAGTTTTTCATCTGCATTTAAACACTAGTGTTTATGAAGAAAGCAAGCAAATTTGCATTAATTGGCATTCCAAAAATTGGCTGAGGTGAATAATACAATACCACTCATATCAACCGGTAGTGCTTACTAATCAGCCAGATCGAGGTGATCTAAACAGCAGGCAACCATTTCCCTTGTTTGTGGTAGCTTCCTATTGATCTGCCTGGCAAGCACCATTGGCTGATATGACTGGTATACAACCATTCATTTCAGTCAATCAGTATGAATTTTGTCTATAAATGCCTTCCCATTAGCTGAGATGTACTCATTAGTATTTTGGGTTTTTGAGGAACTTGGAGTAGTTCACCTGTGTTAAAGGAGCTTTAATTTGCTCACTCTTGAATAAAATACGATCGGTTGGAGAGGTATCATCAGGAGCTGACATCAATTACGGAATCATTGGAAAACCTGCAGGGAGTACTGAACAGATTTTCGTCCTAGTGCTTGGGACTCTTCATCAGTACGAACCTACCGCAAGGACTCAAACCCGGAGCCTTCTGCTTGCAAGGCTAGCTTGTAGACCATTAAGCCACTGAGACCTGATCAAATGGCCACTCCATGAATTCTAACCTCTGCCAATTGATAACATAGCGCTACCACTTCGCAATGTCTTCTTCGATCGGTTACTGCCTGATCTTCCACCTGATGTACCTAACTGGTCACGGCAACCCAATAGAACCCAAAGTTAACTACCTGGATAGGGCCAGTCACAAGTGAGCATAAAATAATTTCCAAGTATTAATTCTGTATTGTATTGGATTGGATTTGATTGGTTTGAGGTGAAACTAGTTAGATAACCATTGGAAAACCTGCAAGGAGTACTTGAGAGCTGTTTTGCTCATGTTTGAGGCTTTTCAGCATTACGCGCCTACTGGGGTTCAAAACAGCTGTCCAGTACTCCCTTTAGGTTTCTCAATGGTTCTGTAACTAACGTCAGCTCATAATGAAACTCTCCAATCAATTAAACACAATCGGTACAAAACCAATACATGAAAAAATTGACTGGTTGGCTTCGATAGCTAATTGCTGTAAACACTCCACTGAACCCTGATTCAGATGTCTACTTCAAAGTTAGAATTCATCTTCACGATTTCACTTAGTTGGTTGCCAGAAAACACTCACTGAATCACACAATTCATGATATCGAAATGCATAATCCTACCGCTAAACTTGTTATATTTGTCTAATCTAGATGACTGAGATATAGCGTAGTTGAAACTATTGTATGGCATTTTCATTTTCACTAGTATGTGTCCTTTAAATACTGCTGACGGTTTCCGCTAATAATAAGAAATTGTAGTTTCAATGCCTTCACTTCCCGTGAAACTAGATTGTGCCAACACAGATTAAACTAATGTTTCACTCACCACTTCACACATGTACATATACAGCGTATTTCGGCGTTAAATGTCAATAGTATTTTCCCTTCTTCTTTATTGACCGTGTGAAGATGCGGTAATTGTCGATAAATCATAGTAGCTAGGCATTTTTGCTAAAAACCGACCATAATTACATTATCCTGATATTTAGTCCAAAAAGAAAATATTGTAACTTTATCTAACATTTATTCTACTTGTGTTTTCTCCTCTTCGACTAGCCGGTGTTCTCTCTATGTTCCATTTTTATTAATGCAACCGGGAAAGGAGACTAACCTTGTGAATAATGCAAACTATAAAAACTCTCATATGACACATGTTGATGTTATGGAAGTTGTTCAGGTAAGCTATGAGACATCACCTTACATATACACCTTGTAATCTACAATCTTATTTGTTTCCCTGTTGATCTCATTAAATTACACTGTATCTTTCAATGGATAGTCTGAATGCAATAATGGACAAACATTATCGAGTTTGACGAGGTTTAGGACTGCATCAGTTGGTGACCAAACTCAGATGACTTGAACCTATTCTATCACTGAGCTACCGATGTTATATTCAACATAGACTGGAGTTATTGTGAGCATTGGCTTGCTTCCAGATACTTTAAGAAGTGTTTGTAAAACCTTCTAGTCAAAATTAGTTTCGTAGTTTGTGTTTCATTCAGAGGGATGGTATGTAGTATTCAGTTGACAATTTTCAAAATTAGCAGCAATCGGCAATGTACACAGTTCTAAGGTTGGAATTTTCTCGAAATTTTCGCTTGGAAATCAAATTATTCAAATCAAAGTATGTGATTTACTTGACACCATCACGTCTTGACGTTCGAAGCGATAAATGGTAGTGGGAAGACCACTTTTACTCAGAAAGAATATTATTGCATACAGGTGACGACCCTAAACAGTGCTAAATGTGGACTCAGTTTTCACTGTAGCTTGATTCTATACGGTATTTTGGCACAAGTAAGGAATTTTCAGCATATGATATCGGTAGCCCAAACTTAACAGGCCGATCATTGATATTAGGTGTGTGTCAGCCAGGGGTCGAGCCCTGGACCATGTGCATGCTCGGGTGAGTGCCTTAACCGCTGTGTCATTGACGAAGTGAACACTAACCCCCATCCTAACTAATCAACATCATGCTAATCTCAAGATAATATTTACCAAAGCTTCCATAGTTGAAGTCTTCAGGAGAAAAGTAACCAAGGACACTGATGCAGTATAATCTATCAACAGGGAAAAACATATCCAATTAGACAAATACTGTGTAAAACTATACTGACAACAAGAAAATGCATTTTCTCTTTTTGAGACAAAGACAAAGATTTTTACTACACTTTTATGTTGATTTTCATGTCTTATTTCATTTTTTTTGTTGTTGCTTGTTTGTTTCAATTTAGCAACCTGAAGTCAAGTCAACAGAGAATGACGAACAAGTGAAAACGGTGAATGAGCAATAATGACAAAAAGTCAGATTGATTGACGATGAAAGTAGTGAATACACACTCTTGCAGACAGTTTTCTGCTTCAGTTCATAATTATTGTTTTTAAATACACAAAGACGAATGTATATCTCCCTTTATCATAAGCCAATGTTATCCAGTGGTAATCGTATATGACCTTTTCTTTTGAACTCTTTATCTTGTACTTTTGTTATTTTATTTATATTACTTTGCGTTCCAAGTAGAACAAGGAGCTTCAAGTTTGAGCTATCAAGTTTCAATAGCAGTATTGGTATTTTTACAGGATGTGGTTGCTAGCTTCACGTCAGAAAGCCTCAATTTTAAACCGGGATTACTACCACCAGCGGCTAGGTGACGTTTCGGATTCCATCGGCTGCAGATTTTGATCCCAGACTACATGAACATCGTTGATAAGCATTCAACTGCTGCACCACCCGTAAAAATGGTTCCCCTTGTAACTATGAGTGATTCTGTATGATAAAACCGCTTCTTTCACCCGGTAGTAACCAGCCAAGTTGTTCGTAAAGATTGAATCTATGCATTGTTCACTTA